CATGTGAAGTTAGGAGTTGGGGGCCACAGAGTAAAAAGCAGATCCCCCTTCTTCCTCTTCAAAAGCTGTCAACTCCAACAGTGTCTTCTCTTTCTCTCCATGTCAGGCAACATGAGAAGTGGGGCAGGACATTAGATGGTCTTTGTTACCGTACTGAGAGCTGGGCACTGAGCTGTCTCCCAAAAGGGCCACAGCCTAGCTTGTTGGCCTCACCCATATGAGGAATGGGCACATGGGCTAACTGGAAAGGGGTGAGAAGCTAAGGGGGCTCCTGATCAGGCCCCAGGTCCATCACTGGCGGGGAATCCTACAAAAATAAAAAGAAACCAAGCCTAGCTGCTGGATCACCAGGCCCAGATGATATAGCAGGATAAAAAAAGAGCAAAACGGAAAAGTTCAGGTCCTTTTAGCTTTCAGTATCACGGCTGAGGATCCTACCGCCCGCCCCAACCCCAAAGCCACGGCAGGGCCTCAGTTGGATCGTTTCATCAGGGAAGGAATGAGGTATAAGGGCTTCATGCCCTTTCAAACTTTCCCCTGAGACAAAGGAAACGAGGGCACCAGGAGTTGAAGAACAATACTATCATACTGTGCAGCAGATAGGCAGGGAGGAAGAGGGTACGTCTCCAGTCCAGACTTCAACACTCTGGGGCCACTCAGACCACATATCCCAACTTCTACAACACGGTCACTGAGAGATAAGCAGAGAAGCTGAGAAAGGAGCAGTGACTTTGGTGAGGAAGAGACCGTCTCAGCATCTTTTATCTACAGTCTTGACCACCCCCCAGACAAGCAATGCCCGAGTCAGAACTCTGCTTCTTCAAGGTATCTGACACTCTGTGGAAAGGAGTTAGGATGGGCCCAGGGGAAGCAAAGGGAAAAACAGAGAGAGAAATCCTCAGTTGTTTCCAGAACCCATACAAGGGACCAGAAATGAAACCTTGAACACGTGACTCCAAAGGCTGAGCTGGGGCTACATAGGTATCATAGGCACGGGTGTTAGAGTCATCGGTCATCTGCAAGCAGGACATCCTTATCATCCAGAACTTCCTCCAGCTCCTTTCCTCTCTTGTAGCCTCCAGCTGGACTCTAGGAAGGGCTCTGCTTGGCAGGGCTTTAGCTCCCTGGATCTGTGAAGGTCTCAATGCAGCAGTTCCCAGAAAAGCAAGCACTCTGGGCTCCTCTGCCTGCCCGCTCCAGTTCTTCCTCTGCTTCAGGAACTGTATGTTTCTGCTTCATGGGGATGGGAAGCCACATAATTCCTCTGCAAGAGCATGGTGAGCAATGAGCATTTCCCCAGGCCACTGCACTGGGGTCACCCATCGTTAGCAGCCACCAACTGCCCCATGCCCTCTCGGATGTAGACAGACTGGATCTCCTTGGTCTTGAGGCAGAGATCACAGGCCCAGACAGCAGAGGCCTCGGTGGTTAGCAGACCGTAGGCACTCTCCGTCATGCCGGTACACTCACGGTGAAACCACTTCTGGCAGGAGGCCTCGCACAAAATAGCATCCTGGTCGTCGTTCACCTCACTGCGACAGGCACCACATGGGTACACCAGGCCCGGGGGAGGTTGGGGCCCTGAGCCTCCACCTGCCTTGCCAGGGGGTGCTAGGCTGTTGGCATCTGGAGTGCCACCACCTCTACCGCTGCTGCTGGGTGGGAAGCTAGGCTGGTTCCCGTTAACAGCTGCAGCCGGGGAGCCTGAATGGGGCTCCTGGGGAAAAGCAGTGGGGGCAGGTGGATTCAAGGGCTTTCCCCCGTCCTCACCACTTGGGCCAGGAAAACCAGGGTCTGGACCAGGGAAGGGACTTGTGTTGGGAGGCAGGCTGGGGAGTCCCTGACCAGGTCTCTGAAGAGAAGGACCAAAAGGTGCTCCTGGCTGGGCGAAGCGTTGGGGGAGAGGGGGAGGACCCAGATCCCCTCTAGGAGGCTGTCCCATGGTGGGCGAGATCATGGGACCGAATCCCCCCACTGGGCCTGGCATCATCTGCCCACCAGGTGGGCTGAAGTTTTGGCCCAGAGACTGGTTGAAGGGTTGACTGGGAAAGTTCATGTTGCCTGGTGGTGGATAGCCAGGGCCCTGAGGAGGCATATTAAAAGCCGGGCCCATAGGATTAGGAGGGAAAGGAGGGGGCTGTCGACGAAGTGGCTGGGGACCCCCTCCTCCTCCAGTGCCATAGCCTGGGGGTACCTGGCCTGCCATGCCCCCCTGTACACGAAAGCCTCCAAAGGGCACAGGACTTCCAAGGAATGGAGGGCCTGCACCCCCCACCTTAGGGGCTCCGAAGTCATCCTCAAAAGGATTAGAAGCAACCAGATGATCCACCATGGGAGTTGGGGGTGGCGCGAACTCCGTCAGATGTGAGTATGCAGGACCCTAGTGAAAACAGGAGGAAGATGTGAACCACAGAACCGAGCTGGGAGAGCACCACACACCTACCAAACTCTCTGAAGGCTGAGGCGGCTCAGATCCAAAACTGTGAGAGCACCACACACCTAACATACTCTCTGAAGGCTGACATGGCTCAGATCCAAAACTGTGACTGACCTCAGAACACGACAAAGGGTGGAAGGCGGAACCCACAGTACAACAGCACTATTTTTACAAAAATAAAACAAAAATAGGGCTGGAGAAGCAGCTCAGTGGTCAAGAGCATGAGTGTGACACCTAGCACCCATGTTGGAGGGGTCAACAGCCTCCATCCAGCTCCAGAGGGATCACATCTCTGACTTCAGCACATACGCAGACATACACAAAAACCCATGTGCATACGTAAAAAATTAAACATAATTAAAAAATATAAAAGTATGCCAGGCGGGGGTGGAACGTGCCTTTAATCCCAGCACTTGGGAGGCAGAGGCAGGCAGATGGATCTCTGTGAGTTCGAGACCAGCCTGGTCTACAAGAGCTAGTTCCGGGACAGGCTCCAAAGCTACAGAGAAACCCTGTCTTGAAAATCAAAATAAATTATTAATAATAATAATAAAAAGTACAGAAAAATCACATTAAAACTCAGGTCTGACCCCAAAGCAGTTAATTAACTTTTTCTTCCTCTGAGATAGTGTCTTATATGAAACTCAGGTTGTACTCAAGCTCAGTTTGTAGCTGAGGATAACCCCCCTGCTCCTGCCTCAATCATTGGACTACTGGGACAGACACCAACCACTATCTATCTGGTTTATGAGGTTCTGGGGCTTGAACCCAGGGCTTTGTGCAGGCTAGCTAGGCAAGCACTCCTCCTATCTGTCAACTCTTCCAATACCAACTGTTAAAGCACTGTAGCATTGTCACACTTAGGAAAGACTCAGCAAGCCAGTAATGCCAGCACGTGGGAGGTTGAAGTAGGTCCGCTGAGAGATCAAAGCCAAGCTGGGCACCTTGTTTCAAACAAGGAAGAGCACAGGCTGGAGAGATGGCTCACAGATTTAGAGCACTTGCAGAGACCCTAGGTTCTGTTCCCAGCACCCATGCGGCAGCTCACAACTGCCTGTACCCCCCTCTTCTGGCCTCTAGGGGCACCTAGCACTTGTCCCTAGGGTCTCCAGCACTGTGGAAAAACAGTATGGTGATTACATCTCTAATCCCACCACTCTGGAAGAAAAAGCAGGAGGCTCCTAGATTCAAAGTCACCCTCTCTACACAGCAAACCTGAAGTGAGTCCGGAATACACGAGACTTTGTCTCTAAGGGGGAAAGGCAAGGTTTGCTGTCACCAGACAGAACTAGGACACAAGAGGGAACGTGAAAAAGTATTTTGGCTTCTTTCCCCTCACCTGGTGGAAAGCACAAAAGGGCAGCCAGGTAGCCACCCAGACAAAGTGGGAGGGGCTTCCAAGGGGGTACACCCAGCACGGATTCCCCCTTTACCTGAGTGTTGGACTTTCTTCGTTTCTTTTCAGGGCTCTTCATTTGCAGACCTGGAAGAGCAGCAATAGGCAGACGGAGGCAAGCTTTCCTGAGGGTTCTACTGTCTCCTTCCTCCCAGCCACTCTCCAGACTCTAACTTCCACGTACACTTGCTTACTTATTTAAAAAACAGGGGTGAAATATAAAAAATGACCAGTTTGACTACACTCTCAGCTACATCCCACATCTTCCTTGAAATCAAAGACACCCGGCTCCAAAACCTGAAGTGATCTGTGACACCTGCTCTCAATCACTAATCCTTCTCACCTGAGGCTACCTCCAGGTCCCTAGGCAATCTTCCCATCCCCCAACCCTTCCATCCGAGGTTCCAGGGTCCCGGGCCTCGGCAGCCCCCGTCCCTCTCTGCGCTCTCACCGGCCTTGCCCTGCTTCCTCCCGGTGCTGGGCGGCGCGGGGGGCGGTGCGGGGCCGCTACCTCCCTCCAGCTTGTCCGGTGGGGGCGGCGCCGAGGCGGCCATGGATTGGGGGACCCGAGTCAGCGTCGGCGGGGGATGGAAGCGTCCTCAGGCCGCACCATCGCCCGGAGGGGAGTCAGGGGCAGCGCAGCACCCCCGAGCTGCAGCAAGCCCTAGACACGCCGAGGGGGAGGCGCAGAGCCAGAGCACAAACTGCACGCCTGCTCCAGACTCACCGCCCGCCCGCGGCCACAGCAACCGGAAACGGAACTCCAATGGGTCGCCACCACCGAGAGCCGTAGGGAGGGGAAACTGGGAAGGGCCCACACGCCGCACCCAGGAAGGCAGGGCCTCGCCACGCCACTCCTTCGAAGTGCCGCTAAGGCCGCCGGAGCCGGGCCCGCAGCAGTGTGGGGTGCACGATCGTCAGAGGCTGTGCGAGCTCCCCGTGGGCCTGGGGGCGGTCCAGACACGCCCCTTCCCACCGAGAGCCAGTCGCCGTTCAGATACGTCCCTACCGCGCAGTCTCACTGCTTCCCAAATTCTCGCAGACTCGAGTTCCCGCGGACAGGCGCTCGCTTTGAACCCAATCGACCTACCGCAGGTGGAATCCGCCGCCACCTCCCACTGACGGCCCCCATCGATCAGACTTTCTAGAGGTGTTAAGAGGCCGAGGTAGAAGAAATAAGGACTTTAATGAAGACTATTTCCCTTTGGTATAAGACATCCAAACCAAAAATAGGCGATGGCAAAGACTAAAAACCAAAAACCAGTCGACCCCCCTTGTTCACAAGGCCTACAGAGTGAGCTCGCAAGATTTCTGTCCTGGCTGCATTGGCCCGCAAGTGGAAGGTAAGATCTTAAGTAAGATTTCACATCATGACCCCACAACACCATTTAACCAAACTTCTCCGTTCTCTTGAGGAATAAGAAAAATCAATCCTGTCTTACATACTTTTAGGCCTGATCGAGTAAAATCTCAACAGTTGTAAAAAAAAAAAAAAAAAAAAGGCTTGGAAAACTCAACGAGGTGATATATAAATGAAATCGACTATCATAATTTGTGCCCAAAAGTAAGCAACAGAAACAAAACCAGGAAAATAAATCTACAGCCCTAAAATGTATGCGCGTAAAAAAAAAAGTGCAGTTCCAGACCTACCAATAGTACTGGGGATTGTCTACTGCTTCGGTCTCAAAGCCTCCACAGAACCCACCTGGAGGCTAACTGTACACATCCTGGAGGCCCATGTCAGTCACACACCCCCATCCCAAAAGAGTGGATGGGGCTGCCGGAAGAAGGGCTACACTTTGGCTGGAGACTATAACACACATGCAAACAGGGGAGGGGCAGGCTTAAAAAATGTATAGACCCCTTGGAGAAAGGGATCAAGGCCAGGAGGCACTGAGCAAGGGAGGGGTCCAAACCTGCCCCCCACCCCTCCACCACCAGGAGGGGGCTCTGAGGCAATCTCTCTGTCTCTTTCTTTTTGGTTTTTGGAGTCAGGGTCTCTTTACATGGCCCTGACTGTTCTGGAACTAACTTTGTTGCAGACCAGGCTGGCCTCACAAATCTTCTTGTCTCTGCCTCCTAAGTGCGGTTTAAAGGCATGTGCCACCAAGTCCAGCTTGGGGCAATCTCTTAAGGGCTGCACAACCAAAAGGCAGAGGAGATAGCTGCCACTCCTGCCCCTATTCTTCCCAAACACAGAAAGGGGTGCTGAGCACAACAGGGTTCCAGAGCCAAGGCGTCAGCAACCCTTATCCACACGAAGGGCCTGAGAACTCTTTGCATAAAGTATCTGCAGACCTAGGAGATAGTCAAAGGCACAAAGTTGTAAGGGATGCATAGGGAATAGGATATGTTAAGAGGGATCTGGGGTACCCTGAAGACCAGGGGTAAACCAGAGGTATGATTACTTCCCTTCCCCCAAAGGGCAATTGCTCCACTGGGTCTTTCTCCATTTTAAGAACCTACCCTTTGGGGGAAAGGGCATCAGGTTGGCACAGACAAGGCCCAGGCAAGGGACCACTCTGTACATTAATACTTTGGTGAAGTTTGGGCAGAAGCAGGATGCTACCCCAGGTTCCTAACTAAAATTCCCTGTCTCAGGTGAGCACAAACAGAGGTCCCAGGAGTTAGAGGACGCAGTGGAAGGGGTGGAGGGCATCCAGGACAGACTGAAGATCACACTTTCCGGTCCACGGGTTGCTGTAGGCACAGTTCGCTGCCCGCGGAGATGATGGGCAAGTGATTGTCCATGTGGTAGCTGATGAGGTGACTGACGCTCTCAAAGCGGTGATCTTTTGTCCGAACCTGGGAAGGTGGGAAATAAGAGGGTCAGTTCAAATGAGTCCAGTAAGACCTCAGCCCCCAAGACTGAGGGAGACGGGGTGGGGGAGGGGGAGGGAAGGGCAGGTCAGTGACTGGCAGTGTGAAGTTGGCAGGAGCCCAGGAATATGAAGCTGATAAACAGGTAACTTCTCACTCAAAGGAACCGATGTGTCATCAGAGGAAACACGGTGCAAAAACCATGTGGGAAACAGGCTGAGAAAAGAAACCAAGGTTGTAAGGAACAGCAGTAAGGCAGGTCAGATTTTTAAAAAGAAGAAAAAGGACATTGAGTTTGAGGCTAAGGAGCTAGGGAGACAGCTGACTCCTCTCACTAGAGGAAATTTGGGGTTTCTACCCCACAACCATCTGATATGGGGCATCACTGCCTTTCCAGGGTTACTTCCTCCCTTGGCAAAAGGAGCACAGATCAGGTAATCACTTTTTAGGTCTGGTATTGATAGGCTTAAGGTCTGGGATTTGGTAAGAACTAAAAGAACACAGCTTAGAACCGGCAGCGGTGGCGCACGCCTTTAACTCCAGCACTCAGGAGGCAGAGGCTGGCGGATCAAGGCCTGTCTTAAGAAACCAAAAAACCAAACCAAACCAAACCAACCAACAAACAAACAAAAAAAAAACAGAAACACAGCTCAGACTCAGGGATGGAAGGGAAGGAACCAATTATCTAGATACTAATTATCTAGAAAGGAGATCCATAGAAAGCCTCCAGCAAAGAAAAATCTAGAAAGAAATAAGGAGAGGAAAAGGTACCTTCTCCTACCAGCCCCTACGCATACTTTGGCCACTTACCACACCTTCAGGGTCCACCAAAAGGAGGTGCTTGGGCTGCCCACTCTGCAGGCCAGTGAGCACGTACTGGCCAGGAGTGGTTGTGCTCTCTCGCACCAAGAAGTCACCGTTGAGCTGGAGCAGGGCTTCAGCCTCACGCCGGCTCAGCTTCCCATGGAACCAGGACTCCCCTTGGAGCTGCTCAGCCATGGACATGGACTGGGGAGGTGGAGGCACCCGGAGGGCATCTTCAAAGGGCTTCATGTCAAAGAGGTCTCGAGGTGCACTGCCATTAACAGAAGGATTGGGAGGCCCAGACCCACCTCCAGCTTGGCGGGCCTTGTCTAGATTCTGGATGTTGACATAGGAAGGATCATCGAAGAGCTCTCTGCCTGTTAAGGAAAGGCACAGACTATGTCACTCCCAGCCCTGCCTTCTGTACCCATCTCTGTCCCATTCAGTCGACTGTTCCTACCTGGGCAAGGTGATGGAGGCAGCATCTGCTTACGGACATCAGCGTCTCCTGCAGCATGCTGCCCTACAGGCTGTAAGAAAAATCAGGTGAGACCAAGGCCCTAGCCAGCTACTTCCACTCTGGACTGGGGGTCTCCATCCTTGAAGCTTACCAGTGTAGCTCCCAAGTGGCTGGGCATCTGGGCAGTGGGCAGAGTGGGTCGAGCAGCCCCTTCTCGAAGCCTCATGTCTACCACCCCGCCGAGAGGGGGTTCCTTCCCTGGGAAGTCATTATAGTACTGATGGTCAGGTGGCTCTTCTTCCTCCTCATCCCAAGCCGAGCCATCAAAGCCAGCCATCCTGAGAAGGGAAGGACAGAGTGAGGTGAGTGTACAGACGTGGTGGGAAGAGAATGGTGAACACACACTAGGCATACACTATGGGTCAGACCTAACACTTGGTGCTGTACCCTTCTAAGGCTGGTATTCCTTCCAAAATTTCAAAAATAGAGATCAGGTGTGGAGAGACTTGCACAAACTGAAGGAGGCAGAGTTGATATTGAATTTGGTTTTAAACCACTCTCACTTCTGACAGCTATGCTATCTCCTAAGAGGGATGGAAGTGCTAGTGAACCAGGGATATCCAGAATGGTCTGACATACAGAGTCCTGATGCTCACGCCGTTTACCACTTCAGACTTGAAAAAAGAAACATAGGAATCTCAGGTCAAAGATTCTGGGATTCGGGAAATAGCTCAGTGGCTGCAGTGTGAGGCTCAGAATGCAGATCACCAGAACCAGTGTACAAGAATGGCGACCACCCATAGCCTCAGCGGGAGAGGCGGGCAGAGACAGGAGCCAGGATAAACTGGTTGCTGCTAGCTATATCTGGTCAGTGAGAGATCCTGGCCTTCAATAAACAAAGTAAGGTGCAATAGAGCAAGACATCTGATACCAACTTCAGACCTCTGCGCGCACACATGCAGAGATATTTACACAGGCAACATGTACCAACACACGTAAACACATAGACACATGCAGGGAAAAAAGGAAATATATCCTCTCAATCAACTTTTTTGTTTGTTTGGTTTTTTGAGACAGGGTTTCTCTGTAGCTTTGGAGCCTGTCCTGGAACTAGCTCTTGTAGACCAGGCTGGCCTCGAGCTCACAGAGATCCGCCCTCCTCTGCCTCCAGAGTGTTAGGATTAAAGGCGTGTGCCACCACTGTGTGGCTAAAACCTAGATTCTTTTTTTTTTTTTAAGATTTATTTATTGGGGCTGGAGAGATGGCTCAGAGGTTAAGAACACTGATTGTTCTTCCAGAGGTCCTGAGTTCAAGTCCCAGCAACCACATGGTGGCTCACAACCATCTGTAATGAAATCTGGTGCCCTCTTCTGGCCTGCAGGCATACATGCAGACAGAACACTGTAAACAAAAATAAATAAATAAATAAATCTTTAAAAAAAAAGATTTATTTATTTATTATGTATATAACATTCTGCCTCAATGTATGCCTGCACGCCAGAGGAGGGCACCAGATCTCAGTACAGATGGTTGTGAGCCACCATGTGGTTGCTGGGAATTGAACTCAGGACCTCTGGAAGAGCAGCCAGTGCTCTTAACCTCTGAGCCATCTCTCCAGCCCTAAAACCTAGATTCTTAATGACCTTCAGAGGCAGGAAGCACAGAACAATGAGTGGGGAAGTATGGTGGCCAGGGGTTAGAACACTGCTGATCTTGCAGGACCCAGGTTTGGTTTCCAGCACTTACACGACAGCTCACAACCACTTTTAATTCCAGTTTCAGGGTATCCAATGTCCTCTTTTGGCTTCCACAGGCACTGTATATACTTACATGCAGCAAAACACATACACGTAAAATACAAATCTTTAAGGAAAAAAAAGTATATAAGAACACAGGAACAGGCTAAAAATGAGGAACCTGAGCCAAAGTCCATCCAGCTAGAAAAGGCAACCTAGAGAGAGGTGCTGGAAATAAGCCCACCATAGGTAAACAAAAGGAAGCAACTGTCCCTGCAGCAGGCTTTCCTGCGGAGCCACTGGAAACCTAACACAGTAGGAAGACTGGGGCAGCGCCCTGTAAGTCATTACCTTTCCAGAACCCTCAAGCATGGGAAGAGAAAATGACTTCCCAATCCCAGCCTGAGGCTCCTCAGCTCACCTGTCATGGGGGGTGACCAGTTTGGGTGGATTCCTGAGATACTGTTTGAAGCGCAACTCAAAGGCCTGACCGATGGTGCTGATGACATCCTGAGCGAGCCCTTCAGAGCACTCCAGGATATGGCAGGCTGGGGCACAGTAGAAGGACCAGTGAGCTCTGAGGGAGGGTGGGCAGGAGCCTCCCACCCCCAGCCTCCAGAGGACAGCCCTATCAAGGATAACTGGTAAGAGTAGGGAAAGCACCCCCACTCCTTCTCAGATGATTGGCCCCACGCAGAGCTGCTCACGAGCCTTACCTCTCTGATTTACAGGGTCTTTGGCAACGTAGGCAACATACTCGGCTGTGTCCTGGAGAACAGATTCAGAAGAGACCAGTGAGCCCAATTTTACAACTCCACCTTATTTGACCCCTAAGACTCTGTCCTTTTCAGATATTTCCACAATCCTAAGGATTTCTCTGACTACCCTGAAATTTAGAGGCTGTTGGGATTAAAGGCAGGAGCCACCGCACCCATCCTCTAGCCCCACCCGTCTTTCCTCTGTCCCCCCAACTCACCGGATCCCCACCAGATGCGAATGAGATAGATTGCATATGATGGTTGGCAATGATCTGATGAGGGATGAAGAAGGAAGGCAGTGGTCAATGTCAGGCAGCCGCAGGGCTCCGTGTCCTCACCCAGCCAGGAACCTTGGAACCCCAGTCTCATTCTCTCGGCTTCTAGTCCTACATGCTCCTAATTTTATTCTCTTTTTTTGGGGGGCAGGGGTACAGGGTCTCACTATATAGCCCTTGCTGGTTTAGAACTCAAAGAAATTCACCCGCCTCTGCCACCTGAGTGCTGGAATTAAATTTGTTATTATACCCAACCCCTCTAATTTCTTCCTACTCTACTCCCCGGTTGGTCCTGAGGACTCCAGACCCCTTGGTCTTCCCATAACTAACCCCATCCCTTGCAGCAGCCCTACCCACCTGTTTGCAGTCGGCTGCCATGAGGTTAAGGCTGCTGGTGGACACAGTGAGGGTGACTGGCATTCCAGCAAACTTCAGGTTACTCCTCCCCAGGATGGAGCTGAGTGGGCGGCTAGAGGGCTAAGAAAGGGCCCGAGTATCAGAGCCTGAACACCCCAACTCCAAGAGACCCTCCTGTCTTCCCACGTGCCTGCATGTGCCTTCCCCTGCCCCCCACAGCAACCACATATACCTTTCTCCTCCTTGTTGCTCCTCTGGCACCAGGCACGGCTTCACACACCAAACTGATGGCCTCCCTGGAGAAACAGGGGTACTCAGACCCACCACTGGCCTCCCATTGCCTGGGGCTGCCACAGAGCTGGGGGAGGGGAAGAGCAGGCCAGACTCCAGAGCACTCCAGGCTCTTTGTCGTGGTGGATTGAATTAAGGGCCTTTAATATTTGATGGCACTGAGGGCGGCTTCCTGGCTGATTGGGTTAGGGCCTCTATGGCTACAGCCCCACCTCTTCCCAGTTACCAAATGTTCCATTCCCTTCCCAAAAGCAGCAGCAACCTCCTACCCCACCTTTCTAATCCACCTTCCTATAATCTCCGTGCTGGAGCTAAGCGCTCCAGACCAGAGCTGGCTGCTTGCGGTCAGACACACTTCTGTAACTTTGTCTCAATTCTCTTGGCCACCGATAAGAAGTTGCCACCAGCACCAACTTCCCTCCTCCTCCTGAGACTTTTGTAACTTCACCAACCCTAGCACTCCAACAATATACTGGTCTCTCCACTAACCTGGTGACCTGCGTCCGGGTATTGAAGTCAAGGGCTCGCATTGACTGTAGGACCTCCACACAACCCATATACTGTGGGGGAAGGAGGCAAGGATAGATCAGCCGTCCCTCCCCCACCCCACACTCCCCACCCTTTGCCCTGTGTAGTCCCTAAGGGAAAGGTGAAGAACCCTTCCCACTGCCTGGGGCTACCACCCGTAAGTGAAGAAGGACCACCAACGAGGTCCTTCGTGCACTGTGGAGAGATTGTGCGAGGACCAGCAGGCATTGGGTGGGATGGGGTGACATCTCTGGAAAAGGGAGGAGTCTAGGGGGAAGAATCAAGAAGTCATTTTTCATTAACACTTACTAAAAGTCTCGGATGGGTTTAGACATTGTGTAGGCTGGAGGGTAGGGGTCAATGGAGGAAAGGGGACCTGGGCACAAGATTCCCAGGCTAGCACAGAAAGACATGAAGCTGGAGAAGGGATGGAGGTGGCAGGTTTAAGAATGAGGCAAGCGGCACATATGTTGGGGGAAGAGCAGGAAGTCCCAGCAAATCTGGAGTGAGCAGAGGAACTGGACGAGGGTATGGGAGGGGTGGAAAAGAGGATGTTCACTCACCCGAACCAAGTAGGAAACCCCAGGTCCCATGACTTTGTCGTTGGGATGCAGCCAGCCTCGTGTGGGCTTATTGACAAAGCTCCCGTGTCTGGTCCACTCCTCGCCCCCCAGCTGGCCCCCTTCTACTCGAATCCTGCGCCCGCCGCCTCCACTCAGCTTGTTCATGTCCTGGAGGAGGGGCAAGAGGCCTGAGTCCCGAAGGGCTGCCCCTGCATTCCCTTCCCCATCTTCAGCAGTCTTTCCTGGTTCCCCCTTAGGCCCCAGGCGCCCCCCAGCAGGATTGGCCAGCTTCAGGTTGCTCATCCGGGGAAAGAAGGAACACAGGGTAGTCGGACTATCGTCCCCCGGCAGAGGAGGCAGAATGGGTCCCAGGGATGAGGTTGATGGGGAAGGCAGCTCTTCTGTGGGGGTACACCCTGAAGCCCCCTCCTCCAGCGATGACAGAGACTCATTTCGAAGAGGGTTGTACTTCGGCTTGGGGGGTAGAAGATCCATGGCTGGGGTGAGAAGGGGGGCTGCTGCCTGGCCCCCCTGCCAAATTCAGGCAAGGGGGCCAGGCAGGGGGCATCCCCAGGCCCTTAGCCTGATCTGACCTCTGCAGCCTGGTGATAACAAGAGGACCTAGGGAGGCGAAGGACAAGTGGCCTCTGCTCTCCCACGTCAGACATAGACAATTTCAGGCCACATCCTTGCCCAGCCCAGCGAGGAAGCCTCTTCTGGCCGAGGAGTACAGGCTGGACCCAGAGCTAACTGGCTCCTCCCCAGGGGCGGGGAACTAGGAAGCGAGACCAATCCCAAGGACAGTGCTGACTCACAAGCTCAGAGGGGCCGAGACACCTCCCCACAGTTTGCGCTAGCCAGCCGCTCTCCCTCGCCCAATACAAACAACTAGTAGTCTGTCTGGGGAGGAGAAAGGTGCCGTCGGAAAGAAAGATGTCAGAACAAGAAAAAGACAAAAAAGAAAGTAAGGGGTTAAGAGGAACTCTGGATCAATCCAAACCAACACGGGCAAGCAGAGAGAGCAGGAAGTCAGGAAGGCTAGGAGGAATAAAGGAGGAAACAAGCTGCTGAGGGTGGAAAAGGGGGAGGAGGGTCCCAGAGTTTAGCATTTCCCTACAGCCCAGACCATCCCCACCCCCACCATACAAAGAGTGAGGTGGCTGCCCCAGGGAACCTGGCCATTAGCATCCTCAGCAACAACAGCTGTGGACAGAGTTGGGAACCAGGAAGGGAAAGTAGTCCCAGAAGATGTAGGTGGAGGCCAAGAGAGAAGGCCAATCAGGGTGGTGCAAGAGCTAGAGCAAGCCTGTGTTCTTCATAGCTGTCACCCACCAAAGACTAACGGACATCTTGGACCCCCTTCCACAGGCCCAGTGAGGAAAGCCAGGGGATAGAGAGGGATCAGGTTAGTACCCCTTGGACACAGCTTACTTCTCTCCTTGTAAGCCCCACCCAACAGTGTCCCTCACACGAGCAGGGGGGCTGGCCTTGGAGGCAGGAAAATGAACGGAACAGAACGGGTGCCTGCAAGCCGCAAAGCTGTGTTAATAAAGACAGGAAGGACAAAGGGATACCAGAAGCTGGGATCTGGCCGTAAGTGCAGAATAACACCAAAGCCATATTTCTTTCCCCACAGTTTCCTGCCACAGCTCTGCTAAAGGCCATCAGGAAGTTAAAGAAAGTGACCAAGCTCCAGAATAAACTATCACTTATTTTTAAAAAAAGTGATGAAATACACAAAGTAAAAAATAGTTTCTTAGAGGCTCACCTCCAAACTCCTCTGAGGTTTATTTTGGAGAATTAAAAACTGCATGACTAACAAGGCCAGTACTCTAAAGAGGTTAGCTACCAAGATTCCCGTCACCTGCACAGTCCCCAAGCCCAGGAAAGCTGCCACCAAACACCACACCGCTTCCTGACAAGAAATTCTGTCATTCCGTTAGCCAAGACCTCAGCTATTAGACAGGAGGAAAATTTCCACCAAAGCCAGACACACAAACACACACCATGACGTCCTCATTTTGAGATGGCTTTCTCTGAAACATTCATATCTAGAGGCAGGGAATCACCAACCGTGTGCACATTTGGAAGAGGAGGAAGCATGAGCGTTTATATTTGTTTCAAGAGATGGGAGACTGCCTACTGGACCAAAGCTAGGTAGCAGCGACTTGGCGGGGGGGGGGGGGGGGGGGGGGGGGGGGGGGGCGGGGATACGACACAGCTGCGTTCTGCACCTCAGCCCAGCAGGGAGGAGGCTGGAGGAGCAGGAAATAGCAGGAAATGGCGAAAACCTCAGGAATGTTTCCAGCAGGGAAGGTTGGGCAAGAGCGGCCAGGATGAATCCAAACAAGAGTTATCTGGTTATGGGGAGGGGTCTTTTAAAAACAACGGAAAGGACTCCTGACTCCGAAACACTTTTTCTTCTGATGGCAGAAAAACTTTCACTCCTCTTAGGGTCACACGAGTCCATACTTAGTCCAGTCCAGTCAGAGGAACACCTACGGCTGTCTCAGGAACAGGGTCTGCCCCAGGAAGGAGTGGGGTCAGGGGTCTCTTAAGCCACCCTCTCGTCCATTCTCCTGCCATAAACGAAACCCAGCCCATCAACTTAATACACAGCCAGAGAAGGTGACGCGGGAAACGACACTGCTAATCAGCTCACTCCTTACAACCGCAACTTTCAACCTCCACCTGACGGAGCACGAGAACAGGAAAACTAAGTCCAAGACTTAAAGAAAGGAGAGGATACAGAGGCAGGTGAAGCGTCCGGAACCTAAGAGCAGGGTTTTGAGGCATGGACCGAAGCCCAGCAGGGAAAAGGACTAGACGTGGATGGTGAAGGGGCGGGGCGCGGAGGGGGCGGGGCCCACACAGGCGTCGCTCCTACAAAGCCGAACCGTTCTTTGAAAAGCGAGCTTTTGCCCCCTCGGGAAGCCAGGCTTTCGATAGGCTACGTTTAGCCGAGACTCCAGAGAAGGCAGTTTCAGAGAGCTGGGAAGACTAATCTCGTGCAGCCAGGAAAACCTGTCTAGGGGTGGGATTTCCAGGGAAGTGGGACAACAGGGTGTGGTCAGACAGTAAGAGACAAGACGGGGTTCGGGGAGCCCCTTGAAGTTGGAAGGGGGAACTTCCGCGGAAGGGGTCTCGGGGGCGGGACTTGTACAACAAGACCGGAAGTAGGGTCCTGGGAGAAGGGTTCCGGGGTAGAGGAGTGGGTCGCCACAGGGAGAAAGTCGACACTCACCAGGGTCGCATGGAGTCTCCGCACCGGACCGCGGGCCGATCTGGTTCTGGATCACGTAACTGTCGGCTTAAGTCACTGCACCAACTTTCTCCCCCGGCCTCGGCCTCCCCAGACAAACTTTATTACACTTACTTCCGGCCTCACTAACCCCTGACCCCCTACCTCGCCGTCCCTCCTTTACTCGTCTGCTTTCCAAAGCCGGCCAATGGCTGCGCGGGCAGGCGCAAGGGCTCCGTGGGAGCCAATAAGATTCCTAATTTCGACCCAGCTCATTCTTCAGAAACCAGAGCACTGCACTTCATTTACGAATCGTGGAGACGCCAAAGCCATCCAATCGGAGACTTTAGGATGGAGCTGTCCCGCCTTTGGCCGAAGAGACCAATAGCAAGTGCAGGCGGTGTGTTTGAAAGCGGGGCCAAAGAGGGTGGGAGCGCGTGCTGCTGGGAGTTGTCTGCAGGCCAGCAGCGCGGGGCTGGGCGCCCTCGGGCAGAACAGTCATGTCGCACAAACAGATTTACTATTCGGACAAATACGACGACGAGGAGTTCGAGTACCGGTTAGTGCCGGCGCGGGGACTACAGCCAGGTTGTGCGCTTTGACGAAAGAGTGCACGCGAGGAGTTAGTGACCTAGGGCAGAGGGGGGGGGGGGAGAGCGGTGCAGAACGGGCGCGTGCGCAAGAGGGGTTTTTTTTTTTGGGGGGGGGGAGGCGGCCGTAGCAAAGCGCATGCGCGGAAAGGTAGACGGAGGCCGTAAAACAATGGAAGGGAATCTGGAGTTGGCCGGGTGTTAAATAGAAGCGTGTTGGAGTTCTGATCAGTTTCACCTTTGGAATTTTCACATCAGTCTCACAACTTTGTTGGTTCCGGTTAATTTTTCTAATAGGAAGTGATCGCTTCCAAAATCTACTGGGATAAAGTATCCAAAGCGGAACTGGAAGTTTTGTGGTCAATGAAAGGACAGTTCTGTGAGAGCTTCAGTGTTAATTGTTACTTTATGAGAAAAGAGCAGGAGCGTGGTTGTCAGCCTTGTTTTAGATAGAGGCATGAAGACTGGACGTAGCTCAACTACTTGAGCATTTATGGTGTGCAGACAGGTTTCAAGTGTTCTGTTAAGGTGCAAGGTTAGCCGGTACGATAGCTCACACCTTTGTTCTCAGCATTCTGGAAGTCAAGGTGCAACATTGTCACAAGTTCCAGGCAGCTTGGGCTGCAGAATGGGAACCTTGTCTAGAGACAGCAGAGTGGTCAGTGACCGACCTAAAAATCCATGGACTAAGCTGACTCCTGGGCCAGCTGAGTACGGGTGTGAGGAGAGCATGCGATGAAGGGGGACGGTTGAGGAAACGTTGCTAGAGGAGACCCTGAGAACACAGGGACGAGAAACAACGGTGAGACAGAGTCTAAGATCCTGGCTCTCTGCCAATGATTGTGAGACATCCTTGCACTGAATGTGCAAACTTTGGGTGTGATAGTACCAAGTCCGTGAATTTAAGTTGAGACTGAGAGAATATGAGATTCTACCAAGGTTGATATTACACTGGTCTGTATCGCTTGTAATGTTTATTTATTTTTTTTATATATACAGTGTTCTGGCATGGAGGGCACCAGATCTCATTACAGATGGTTGTGCCATAATGTGTTTGTTGGGAATTGAACTCAGGACCTCTAGAAAGCAGCCTGTGCTCTTAACCTCTGAGCCATCTCTCCAGCCCCCACTTTTCCTAATATGTATCTGAGTTCCTTGACTAGCTTTCCTACATTCTTCACCTGTCCTGTACCAGGCCTTTGGGCACCCTGGAAAATTGGTGTGTATTGACAAATATGTAACAGTCTTTTTTGGCAAGAAAAATCCCACACCATTTTACTGACATCACCTGGATCTCAGAAGCTAGGCAGGTCAGGCTGGCTGGTTCCGTGGATGGGATAAACAGCTACATCCTTGGAGCTAGTTAACTTTTGTTCTCAGCTGTTTTCCATGCCTGTGAATGAAACATCATACAACATTTACATGGTTGGGAAGAAATCAGTAGCTTCATCCCCGAGAAGATGTCACTTTTAGCTTAGCAGCCGCGTTTTTGCTTAAAAGAGGGCTGTTTGTTTGTTTTTTTGGGGGAGGGGGGGGGTCCTGTGCATTGAAGTCACGTTTTGTGCCAAGGACTTGTTAGAGTGTAAATTCTTCTCTGACATTGGACTAGAATTACGGGGTGGGGACTCTTATTATTACTACAAAGGTAGCATTTAGTACATTTTCATCAAGCTTGAGAAACTCTACCTGAGGTAGTCTGAGTCGAGTCAGATACTGTTTTTACCATTGACCTTGGTTAGGAAAGCACACGGTTTCCCAAGTGTCACAGCTGGAAAACGAGCTGGGCAGTGGTGGTGCATGCGCACTCCAGAACCAGAGGCAGGCGGATCTCTGAGTCAGAGAGGCTAGCCTGGCCTCTACAAATTGAGTTCCAGGACTGTTACACAGGGAACCCTGTCCTAAAAAAGTAGGGGAAAAGGGTTGGAAACGGAATTCAGTGTGAACATTTTTATGTTTTCTCTATGCCTGCTCTACACCCCACACCATAGTAGACTGTTCCTCTCCACAGTGTAGCTTCTTCCTGACCAGTCGTAGAGTGGGTAAGATGGGCAATCAGAGAAAACACAAATATCATCAGGGGCTGATATTCAGGTATGCATTCAAATTGTCCATTCATTTTGTTTTTAATATTCTCTTATAAAAATTTACAAAACTGGGGGCTGGAGAGATGGCTTAGTGGTTAAGAGCATTGCCTGCTCTTCCAAAGGTCCTGAATTCAATTCCCGGCAACCACATGGTGGCTCACAACCATCTGTAAAGAGGTCTGGTGCCCTCTTCTGGCCTGCAGACATGCACACAGACAGAATATTGTATATATAATAAATAAATAAATATTTAAAAAAATTTACAAAACCTGTGTTTCTAGCTGCCTCTACTACACAATATCCACAATAAGATTTATACAGGCTGGAGAGATGGCTCAGAGGTTAAGAGCACTGACTGCTCTTCCAGAGATGTCCTGAGTTCAATTCCCAGCAACCACATGGTGGCTCACAGCCATCTATAATGAGATCTGTTGCTCTCTTCTGGCATGCAAGCACACATGGAAGGGATGTTGTATACAGAATATATAAATAAATCTTTAAAAAAAATTGTTTATACAAATTCGGCTGGGCAGTGGCACACACCTTTAATCCCAGCACTCAGGAGGTAGAGGCAGGCAGATCTCTGAGTTTGAGGCTAGTCTGGTCTACAGAAAGAGTTCCAGGACAGGCTCCAAAGCTACACAGAAATCCAGTCTTGAAAAACAAACAAACAAACAAAAAAATTAAAAAAAACTCTGATATCAGGAGCTAGTTACTTTTTTTTTTTTTTTTTTTTTTTGGTTTCGTTTGGTTTTGTTGTTCCTGGTTTACTTTTTTGGCTTTTCTCCTAAGACAGGGTTTCTCTATGTAGCCTGGAACCTGTAGTTCAAGCTGAACTGGAACTCAGAGATCTACTTGCCTCTGCCTCCCAAGTGCTGGGATTAAAGGCGTGTAACACCATGCCTGACAACTTGTTTGTTTTCATAGATTCTCTGTAGCCCAGAATGTCCTCATAGCCCTATAATGCTCCATCCATATCCCTGTGAGTGTCAGAGTTACAGTGTGAGCTGTCTTCTCCCTCTGCTTGTCTTTGTATATAGGTCAGTGTCTACCACGAACTCTTCACATCCCCGTGTTTCTCTTACAGACATGTCATGTTGCCCAAGGACATAGCCAAGCTGGTCCCTAAAACCCATTTGATGTCTGAATCTGAATGGAGAAATCTTGGTGTTCAGCAGAGTCAGGGATGGGTCCATTATATGATCCATGAACCAGGTCAGTGCAACGTAAGGAAGCTTCATTCTGGCTGAAGGAAGATTACAAACCAAAGCGATAGAGGGAGGAGGGCATCATTTACAGGATTGTTTCCTGCATTCACTGTGCAAAGGAAGTAGAGTGACAGAATGAGAATGAGAACATCTAGGAAGGTCAGGGACAGCCATACTGAAAAACAAGACAAAACCCTGCAGTCTTTTTTCGAGCTGGTGGGTACCCTTTTCAAGACCACATGCACCTTGGCTATGGCCTCTGCAAATAACTGGATGTGTCCCAAACAAGCACAGGCAGTTTTGTTTCTTGGTAAGACACCAGACACCCAGCTGCCAGGCAAAACTAACACAGGACACCCCAGGGCTATGCAAACAATAGAAAAAAATTCTGTACATGGCAGAAAGGTCAGACTTCAGGGGCTGCTTCTAAGGCTGTCTGCTCTGTCTCAATTTGGTTGTGGAGCTGATGTGGGTGTGGTGGGGCGGGGGACACAGTGGGATAACTGTAGACTGTGCTTGAATGGTGTCGCTGATTCTTTCAGAACCTCACATCTTACTGTTCCGGCGACCACTACCCAAGAAGCCAAAGAAATGAAGCTGGCGAGCCACCTTTCAGCCGCAAGCTTTACACAGCTGTCCTTGCTTCCTACCGTCTCTCTGATGGCGTGATTATCTCGTTTTCTTATTTCTCACTTTGATATTTAAAGGATGTTCAATACACTGAAGTGCTGGAACCTGCTCTACTTCTTGAGTTGAGCCACCAATGCCACAACCCTGTCAGATGAGTGACTTCAAAGCCCTAGAGTGCTCTATCCAGCGGGCCATATTTGCCATCTCTTGAAAGCGCGTGAAATCAGATCATGGCTGTTACAGGGACCGTGTGAATTTGCTGTTGTGGTTTTTATTATTGGGTGCTGTATTTATGGTGACTTATCAGCTTATATTTCAGTGTGTTGGAAACTCTACATTTTATCTGACAAATCTCTTCCATGTTACAAGCCTCTATTAAAGGAAGTTTTTATAATTTAGAGCTGTGGTTATAAGATTGTCCTGTCCCCATGTCAGTGTGTGCCCCCTCCATTCCCTCTGAGCCATCTGCCCTCCTGCAGCCAAGGTGATACTATGAAATCATTCTGGTTCTGTGCCTTTTGGGTGGGTGGTGAAAACATGACTCTTTGCAATAGCAGCTTTACATGGATATTGCAATAACTAATTTGTAATCTATTTTAATTGGACTTACTGTGAAAACATTTGTTGAGGGGCTGGAGAGATGGCTCAGCAGTTAAGAGCACTGGTTGCTCTTCCAAAGGACCCAGGTTCAATTCCCAACACCCACATGACAGCTCACAACTGTCTTTTACCCCAGTTCCAGGGGATCTGACACCCTCATACAGATATACATGCTGGCAAAACCATAAGATACATTGAATAAATAAATCTTTAAAAACATTTTTTTGCTGAAATGTATTTTACTCTGATATCTAACCTAAGATAATGGTTTTATTGGGGCAGCTTTGTCTCATCCAAGCAGGTGAACTTTCCTACAGTTGAAAGTTTCCATTTACATATTCTCAGCATTTGAAGAGCATGGAAAGACAGGCAGGGGCGGAGTAGTAAAACTGCTGTAGGTGCCTGCACTGTGCTGCAGTGCCTGTGACTTGCAGCAGCGACTAATGGAGCAGACTTAAGTAGGGTTGAGTATCAGAACTATCTGGAAGTTGAAAGTACTGATCCCCCACAGAGTAGTCCTTTGGTGTGACTGACGACATGACTCAGCAGGTAAGAGCCCCACTTCACTTTCAGAAGACCTGAATTCAATTCCCAGCACCCATGTTGGGGTGCATGCAACTGCCTGTAACTCCGATTCCAGGAGATTGAACACTCCCTTGTTCAATCTACAGAGACCAAACATGCCTGCCATAAACTAGAAGCCGCCGGACAGTGGCACCTACCCTTAATCCCAGCACTTGGGAGGCAGAGGCAGGTGGATCTCTGAGTCCAAGACCAGCTTGGTCCCTACAGAGCAACTTCCAGGACAGCCAAGGCTACACAAAAAAAACTCTGTCCAAAAAACAAAAATGCAAAGGTGGCTCAGGAGAGAAGAGATGACTGGGCAGTAAGAGCACTGGATAGAAGAGATGACTGGGCAGTAAGAGCACTGGAGAGAAGAGATGACTGGGCAGTAAGAGCACTGGAGAGAAGAGATGACTGGGCAGTAAGAGCACTGAAGAGATGACTGGGCAGTAAGAGCACTGGAGAGAAGAGATGACTGGGCAGTAAGAGCACTGGAGAGAAGAGATGACTGGGCAGTAAGAGCACTGGAGAGAAGAGATGACTGGGCAGTAAGAGCACTGAAGAGAAGAGATGACTGGGCAGTAAGAGCACTGGAGAGAAGAGATGACTGGGCAGTAAGAGCACTGGAGAGAAGGGATGACTGGGCAGTAAGAGCACTGGAGAGAAGAGATGACTAGGCAGTAAGAGCACTGGAGAGAAGAGATGACTGGGCAGTAAGAGCACTGGAGAGAAGGGATGACTGGGCAGTAAGAGCACTGGAGAGAAGAGATGACTGGGCAGTAAGAGCACTGGCTGCTCAGGAGACAGGATCTATGTAGACCAAGCTGGGCCTTGCCTCTTCCTCTCTAGCGAGCTCTGAGACCAAAGGTGTTCACCACTATGCCCAGCTTCAGATTTGTGCTGTATGGATGAGTATTTTGCCTGCACATAACGTATGTTTATCATGTGTCTGGACAGCAGATCCTCTGGAAATGAAGTTATAGATAGTTGTGAGCTACCATGTGGATGCTGTGAACCTAACCCAGGTTCTCTATAAGAGCCATAAGTGCTCTTAACTGCTGAATCATTTCTCCAAGCCCCTTCTACTCACAAACCAAATGATACCAGCATCGCCTAGAAATGTTCAAAGTGCAGATTCTTGGGCACACTGGTCCATGGTATCCTGAGAATTGGGCTCAGCAGCAGGTTAACAAGTTCATCAATGGTTCTAACGTGCACGTGTTTAGGAAGAAGTCAAACATCATTTTTAATGCAATACGAATAAGTACCATATATCAGGCAGTTGGTCTGGGTGGTGTGATGGCTATTCCTGGTTGTCAACTTGACTATATCTGGAATGAACTATAATCCAGATACGGTAGGCACACCTTCTGTTGGACCTATGTAAGGACAATGGAAGAAGGGTGTTCTTAGCCTGCATGCCCCTGCCTCCCTCAGCCCATCCATTCCTTCTTCAAGATCCCAAGACCCAGCCTTACAGAACTGAGCAGCTCCTAGAGTCTTGGACATTCCATTCACAACTAGGCCTTGTTGGTCTGCAGCCTTGCTGCTTTCTCACCTTGGCAGAGGAATTCCAATAAATTCCTGTACACACACACACACACACACACACACACACACAGATTCTGTGACTCTAGAGAACATTGACTAATACAGGTAGGTGATGGGATTTTTTACTTTTTATTAATATATTCTTTTAAAAATTATTTGCTCATTTTGGGACAGGGTCTTAATTATGTAGCCTTGGCTGTCCTGGAACTCACTCTATAGACCAGGCTGGCCTGGAACTTCCTGTGTAGACCAGGCTGGCCTGGAACTCACTCTGTAGACCAGGCTGGCCTGGAACTTCCTGTGTAGACCAGGCTGGCCTCAAACTCAGAGATCCACCTACCTCTGCCTCCTGAGTGCTGGGATTAAAGGTGTGCACCACCTGCTCTCACCCTAACAATTTTTTTTAATTCATTTATTATGTATACAATGGTCTGCATGCATGTGTCCCTGAAGACAGAAGTTGGCACTAGATCTTATTACCGGTGGTTGTGAGCCATCATGTGGTTGCTGGGAATTGAACTCAGGACCTCTGGAAGAGCAGTCAGTGCTCTTAACTACTGAGCTATCTCTCCAGCCCCAGCCTAACAATTTTTTAAAAAGTGTATAATACATTCTGGTTACACCCATTCTCCCATCCCTTTTTTCTCTTGTTTTTAGACTGGTCTTACATTCACTGTAGCGTTATAAGGTTGTTTGACACACCTTCACCTTTCGGAAACTGTACCCAACTAATAGTTTTTGGTTTTTTTTTTTCCGTCCTGGGATATGAACAAAGATTCTCAATGTTAGACCAGTGTTCTACACTAAGCCATACTGCAGGCATGTTCCCCACATGTTAAGGGCATGTTCCCCGCATGTTAAGAGATTAGGAAAGAGTTTGTGGAGTAAAATATGGCCAGTTGTGGTTTAGCATGCCTCCAGTCACAGCTGAAAAGCCAGGCCCCATCCAAAGCTGCCGGATCATCATTTACACACTAAAGTATCCCAGGGCTAGTGAGACGGTTCAACAGGTAAAGGTGAGCCTTTGCCACCCGAGTTGCCGACTCCCATGAAAGAAGAGAACTGACTTCCTCCCACACCTACAATAATAGTAAAAACTTTTTAAAGACCCCAGATGATTAGTTTAGAAGCAGTTTTCCCCAGCGCCGCAAAGGCTGGAGGGGCACTGAAATAGGAAGAAGCTAGGATTCTGTTAGTACCCAAAGTGAGTACAAGGTAATCCTACTTAATCTTCTCCCTCCAGGCCGATCACTGAGGAGTGATGTTCTTCTGGAGGGAGGTGAAGCAGGAAAGGGTTTTTAATTTTAAGAAGCTTAAGTAATTTTTCTCTTTATACTAGAAACAAAGGTTCCGCACCTGCTATTGTTAATACTGACAAACATCAAGCCGGGCGGTGGTGGCGCACACCTTTAATCCCAGCACTCAGGAGGCAGAGGCAGGCGGATCTCTGAGTTCGAGGCCAGCCTGGTCTACAAGAGCTAGTTCCAGGACAGGAACCAAAAAGCTACGGAGAAACCCTGTCTCGAAAATCCAAAAAAAAAAAAAAAAAAATACTGACAAACATCGTCTTCACCTTCTGCTGCAAAATAAATCCCAGTTTGGCGCAGTATCTTGGGTCAACCATCCCAGAGATTGGGGGGTGGGGGAGATGTTAATGGTAAGAAAGTGGGTTTTATTTTATTTATTTATTTTGTTTGTTCGAGACAGGGTTTCTCTGTAGGTTTGGAACCTGTCCTGGAACTAGCTCTTGTAGACCAGGCTGGCCTTGAACTCACAGAGATCCACCTGCCTCTGCCTCCAGAGTGCTGGGATTACCGAAGGTGTCTTAAACTCACCCTGAACCTTACATTTAAGAGGCCAACCTGGGTGGTAGCGCACACCTATAATCCCAGGATTTGGGAGCCCGAGGCAGGCACGAGTGTGATCCAGGACAGCCAGGGTTACAGGACGCCAACACCAGCCCCTGACCCCTGCCTAGAATTAGCCTTAGTAATGAAAACAGTAATGAGCACACAAGGGTGAGAATGCAGCAAGGCCTGGTAGCGCACGCTTCGAATCCCAGCACTCCGTAGGAAGAGGCAGAGTTCGAAGCCAGGCTGGCCTATATAAACAAGTTCCAGGGCTATACAGTGCCTAAATGGTTTTTTCTAAGTATTTGAATGAAACAGAATCACACCTTCATTTTCCTCCAGTACTAGGAAGCGGCACCCGACAGTCCTTAGGGACCTCCCATCTAGCTCCTGTAGTGTCCCCAACCCTAAGTCCCGCCCTCCACGGGCAAAGGCTTGACCCCTATTTTTATTTCCGGGCAGTGATGACCATGTGGTGTTGCCAATAACAATTTTGCATTTCCTTCAGCGCCTAGATAAAGCGCGTAAGCGACTGCCGGCTAGACCAATAGGACCACTGATAGCTGTAAGCGACAGCCAAAATAACCAACCAGCATGAAGTGCTGTAAGGCGGGACTTTGAGTAAGGAAGCTGTCATAGGACGTGCGGAAAGGAAAGAGCGAAGGGCCATGCGAAGGGGCAAAATAGGCAGGATGGTACCAGGTCAGTGTGATCTGAAGCCTGATGCGATAACAGATTTCGGGCTAGAAAGGGTGCAGAAGTAGGTTGAGTTCTAGTCAGCGGCGGAGAGGGGAGGGAGGAGAGGAGAAGAAAGCATTTAAAGGGGCCCGAGG